TTATTAATTTATTTACCATATAATTGTGAATCACGATATCTGTGAAGGATTTATATTCCTACACGATAATGTGATTAATTTAAGTCTTTACAAAGATTCTTGAAATCTCACATGAGATTTAAATATTTAGTATAAAGAGAGAATTAACTTTAATAATAGCCTTTGATGAAACTCATATAAATACCTACAAAACTGTCCTCATACCTACGAAATCTTATTGATTTGCACGATAGAGGATCATTTTGTGAGGATTTAATTTTTTTTATTATGATAAATTTTTTTGATATGGGTTATTCAAAAACACATTCATTATGTAATCAAGATTTTTAGCTTAAATAAAATCTAACTTGTAAAAGTATGTTTAATTTTTAATTATAGGCAACCAAAATCAAATCTTTAAAGATATATTCTATCACCTTCAACTACTGTACTTTATATAAGCTATGCATACATTGAGGTTAGGAAATGATATAATATAAGGTTGCATGAAGTTATAAAAAACCTGTATTAGAACCTGTGCAGAACGAAGTCCATGGATCTTTCTACAAGTCCTTGAGCTCCTTCAAGATGTGCTTCAAAGCCATATCACTCACTTCCTCTAACTGATGACTGAATTAGAACTTGTGTATTGCTGGCAGCCGAACCGATGTGAACGGAGGCAAGAAGAAGAAGATAATCTCGTTTGTACCCACGTGCACATGCATGCTCTGTTTCTATGTTTTCTTCTTTTCTATGAGTATGTTGTTAACCTCTCTTCGTCCTTTTGCTCATATGTTTGAATGTTAATGCATATCTGAACACCTTCACATCAGAGTACTCCATTGCTATCCTCTTTCTCCCTCACTCTCCCTCTTTTATGATTTGTTTTCTATTCTCTTTTTTCTTTCTCAGACTCGCCTCCGACTCGCGTTTCTGCTGTCTCTTTTTTCTTTCATCTCTCCTCTGTTTTTTTGCTTTCTCTCTCTAGATCTTCCTCTTGTGTTGAAGGCTATCTGTGTTCTCCTTCCAGTTTCTCGTCCTCACTCTCTTTTTTCTTCTTCACCTCATTCAAGCTTCTCCCCCATTTCCTACATTCGATCACTACTCTCTCTAGTTTTCTGGCATTTTCTTTTCTCATCGTTTTTTTCTCTCCTTCTTCTCTGTATTTTCTTCTCTTCCTCATTCTTCCTCCTCCTCCTCCTATCGTCCTTGGCTCTCTCTTTTTCCAGTTTTAGATCAGTCTCCTTCCTCGGTTCTCTCTCTTCTCTTCTCTCGTCTTGGATCCATCTCTTATGCTCTATTTTTCCTCCTCCCTTTTCGTCCAGCCTAATCTACATTTTTATACTCTCTTTATGCTCCCTCTATTCATTTTTTTTTCGTGCACTTTTCTTCGGCCTCTTTTTTTGTTGTGTTTTTCTCGATTCCCTTCCTTTTCTACTACCATCCGCATGCGTGTATCTCCAGCTCTGTTTTTCTTTGCTTCCTTGTACGTGCATGCATTTCTTTTTCTGCATGCGTTTGTCTTTCTTCTTGTTTTTTTCATGTGTATCAGCTGGCGTGTCGGTTTCGGCTTCTATGTTTCATGTGTCTTAGCTTTGTTTCTTTTTGCTTTTTGCTTCTGCATTTAGTTCGAGTATGTTCTCTTCGCGTCTGGTTTCTTTTCTGCTCTGCTCTGCTGAAAGGTGTGTACGTATGTTGGTTGCCTGCTGTTTCTGACTGTGTTTCATGCATTCTCCTCTGTGTTGTGGCTCTGGTTTCGTGTGTTCACTGTGCACGCAAGTTTGATCTTGTTTTTTTCTTTTCTGGGATTTTGTGACTATTTGTGCTTACTTTGTGAAGCTTTTACGCCTGGCTGAAAGTTGTTTTCCAGCTACTCTCTCTTTATACGTGCATGACCAGCATTTTTGCCATTCTTTTAATGCTTCTTTTTTTTTAATTAGATTAAAGGAGAGAAAGAAAAATTTTAATTTTAATATATATATATATATATATATTTAAATAGAGAACAAAAAGATTTAAGGAGAGAAATTTAAAAATATTTAAGTCTAAAAAAAATTGATTTCTAATATCTTTAAAATGGTTGGGATAATTTAAGAGAGATTTTAAAAGATTTAAACAAGATTTTTTTTATTTTGTTAAAATTAGTTTTTTTAAATATAATCCTAAAAAAGGATTAAATTTTATTTTGTATTTTTATATTTTTTTTTTTTATTTTTCTTATTAAATTTAAAAAATATCTCCGGACAAAATACGGTGTTCACAATTTAGATTAAATGTTTACTGATACATATTAATAGATACTTTTAAAAATTATTAAATTTATTTAAAGGTTTAAATTTGTAGTGTTTCCTCCACTGCAATAGTGGAAAGCCAACTCCCTCACGAGAGACAGGATGTGAGAAAAATTAATTATTAAAAGAAAAAATATGAAAGATTAAAAAAAAAAGGAGAGATATAAATTACTAAGCACGGTTATAGGTTGGGAAAAAGTTGACCAGATCATTTTTTTTTTTTTGGATCAGAAGTTGACGCGAATCTTAAATAATCAAAAGCAAGGGGTCGAAAATGGATCTGCATAAATTTCAAAGTGTGTGATGATGATAATTTGAGTGTTTGATTATATATTGTTAACTTTAAACAAAAGCGTGCATTAATTTTTTTTGTCAAACCTGCATCTTTTTTTTTTTATACAAGAAAACCGATTATAAAAAAAAGCTCATCTTTTTCATGTCAAAGAAATATTACGTCCACTATTTTTTTACAATCATGTAAAATGAATATGAATATTCAAATATAATTATTTAAAAATAGAAAGAAACCTATACGCAATAAAAAAATGATATATATAAATGTGTAATGTTGGGTGCTCCATGCATTGAAGAGCCCACTGAGTAATAATTTAGTTAACAAATTTTAAAAATATCATTAATTAAAATATATAAATATTTCTCGTTAAAATATAGTCAACAAAATCACTTGGTCGGTACTTGGCAGCATTTAACAAAGAATTTTAAAAAGTCAACTGCGCACACAACTCTATGTACTTGTACATACTTAAATCACAACTGACATGTGGAAGGATCGTGGCATGGTTTGGCTCGAAAATTGGCACTCCCTTATTTTAAATGTAATTTTTTTTTAACTAAAAGTCTAAAACACATATTTCAACCCTAACTAAAAGTCTTTGTTTTACAAGGTGTTTCAACATTTTGATATATCTTAAAAGAAGTTACATAATTAAATTGGTCAAAAAGTATCATAAAAGGATGAGTGAATCAGCAAATCATCCCTTGAATTTTAAATCTAACAATAGCATAGAACTTATATTTATTTATTGTATAATTTAATCCTTACAATTAATAAAGTTAATTTTAAAAAAAAACATTGATTAAAACATAATTAAAAATAAAATTACAAAAACTTGTCTTTTCTTATAATTTTTTGGTCTTTATATATTTTTTAGGTCCTTTATTATAACTTTTTGATCCTTTGTTTGTTATTTTTTTCATTATTAGTGGTCAAAATTAATTTTTCTTTTTACATTCATTACCAAGTTAAATTGTATTATTTTTAAAAATTAAAAAAATCTTTTATATAACTAAATAAATTAAGAGTCTATGATACTAACTGGACATAAAATTTAAAAGGTAATTTTTTTTTCATTTACTTAATAAGATTTCCCTTTTCTTCCTAGCTATAAAGGGGTGAAAAAAGCTAACTTTAAAAAATCCCCCCACAATTTACCTGGTCACTATTAAAAGTAGGAATAAATTGACGTTATATATTAGATACTCTTACATAACACGTTTAAGTTGAACAATGAATTAGTTAGTTGTCCTGTTAAAAAATTATCTATAGTTTAGTTAAAATATTTAATTGATCATCATTAAAATAGTCAATCAAGATCATCAAGTCATAAGCATTGAACATAAAATTTTATTTCAACTACCCACAAGTCTTTGCAAATATTTATAGCCAGTTTGTTATGATAAAAAAAAGATGGAATTTTTTCCCTATCTTCTAGATGTAATGTTTGGTGTGCAAGAAATCAATTAGTATTTCACATGCCTTTTATAGTGTATTATACATGAACCGTTCTGTAATTAAAATGATAGAAAAAACTGTACATTATGGTAATAAGATATAAAAAGTCAAATTTGCTCTTTATTTGTTTATAAAATAGTATTGCTTATAAGGGCAAATTAATTAGTAAATTATCAGTATATAATTAAAAAAAACATATTTAAAAAATATTAAGTAAAAGTATAATACTATATTACATTTTATTCATCCCGCTCTCCTTTCTTTATAATTGATTAATTAATCAAATATACCCATCACTTTCATGAGCAACGTAAGATCATTTGACTTTTCAAACTTGGGGATATATCTATTTCAATATTAATTTCGCTATAATTAACCCATGATCATTTTAACTTCAATCTTTGGCTAATAAATAAAATTCACACCCAAAACTTGAGCTCCAATCCTTGATTAACACATAGTCACAAGCCGTGAATGAATAATACACACCACACACAGACACACACAGACACACACACACACACACACACACACACACACACACACACATTCAGGCAAAAAACAATGAGTAATATATATGTGCTTCCTTTCTGGATGATCTCTCCATCATTAACATAACAATGAAGCCATCTTCTTCTTCCCCACTTTCCTTTCTCTCTCTGATACTCTCAGTTGCAGCAACCTTCTTGTTCGCCTTTGCTTCTGGTGAAGTGGTTTTCAAGGATGGCTTGAAAAACTCCATTGAACTCAGACTCCCAAGCGCTTCTGGCCCTGAAAGCTTCGCTTTTGACTGTAATGGCGAAGGGCCGTACATTGGTGTATCAGATGGTAGAATTCTCAAATGGAAAGGAAGTCACAGAGGATGGGTTGAATTTGCTGTCACCTCACCCAACAGGCAAGATCTTAGCTTTAAAATGTAAAAATATTCATAAAGTTTGATTCAAAACTGATCTGTAATGTATATCATAGATATGTATATACACATATTGCATGTAGAAACCACGTAATTATATTGGGTCTGGCTTGTCTGTTGTGAAAGTATGTGTTTCAAGTTCGAAATCTTAGCTCTTTCTATCTAACTTCTACCGAATGGGTATTTTCAAATTACGTTGAATTATAGGGACAGGAAATTATGTGATGGGTCAACAGATCCAAACAAGGAACCTTCATGTGGGAGGCCACTGGGACTCAAATTTAACAAGAAAACATGCAATCTTTACATAGCAGATGCATATTTTGGCCTTCTAATGGTTGGGCCTAGTGGTGGTGTGGCCAAACAACTAGCCATTTCTGCTGCTGCTGATGATGTTCCCTTCAAATTCTTGAATGGCTTAGATGTTGATGACGAAACTGGTGTGGTTTATTTCTCAGAAAGCAGCACTGTGTATCAGAGAAGGTATTCTTCTTCTTCCTCTCTTGCGTTGAAACTTCATATCCATATATGGTTTTGTTTGATATAGCTTTAGTATAGACTTAATATGACTTTTAAGACCTCATGAACATAGAAAAAAAGTTCAATTTATGATAAAGGTGTATCAACAAAATTAGTATTAATTATAACCATATATAATAGGATATGATCTAAAGCAGTGGTCACCAGACAAAGTCTTCATTAATATTGCAGAATATGTAAAATCATACTTATATTCACTAAGAAAGATATGCGGTTAGGGTCATGCATCTTAATATCTTATTAATTATTAGGATCATGTACATTATCCAAGATTAATGCAACCTTGATTTATTTGGTGATGATGAAATATTACCCGCTTAATGACGTGAATTAATGTATTCATGAA